AAAGTCATAATTGCAGTATGAACTTAGATGATGTAAAGGCTGCATTTTTAAGTGGAACTAATCACCAATGATTGCACAGTGCTCAGGATCATTCGCATCTTCTGTCCTCAAATAGGGATATCTAGAGGAGGTCGAGTGGAGATGAGACTGCAGAATGATGAATGGGTCATGGCATCTGTCTGGATATTCAGCCCAGATATGTATAATGTTCTTGTGATTACAGACAAACTGCATATTAAAAGAGTAGAACTCCTTAATAAAGGATTAATTCATAACCCGAGTCATAAAACATGATTGATCTGATGGACCTTTGGTGGCACATCAGTATGAGCAAACATCTGCTAGATCTTTGGAAATCCTGCAAGTGAAGCAAAGCAGACAGCAATCTGGTTTGACTACCCTCATTCCTGTCAAAGTGGATATAGTTGGTGGCCTTGATTTTAAAAAAAGGGATTAGTAAACTTGGGTGACACAATTGTGAGCTGCAGACTGTAAGATCTGCAGATGTCCTCAGCAGATTCCCCCAAAGGACCTAGAGATGAAATAATTGAGTGCTGTGGCCACCTTGACAGCCATGAGTAGTGCCTGTGCACCGGCCCCTCCTTGGACAGAGATCAACTTCCTAAGGGCTACAGAGCTTGTATATCTTCCTGAGAGTCTGAGACGCTGTTGTTTAGATTTGTTGAGGAAGCTGATCTTTGGTTTTAACCCGAATCTACACCTGAACGTATCACCTCCTTTAAGATGCATCTGTGTCCATCTCTTCTAACCCATGTAGTTGCATTTGGTTTTGCAGAAAGCTGCTACTTTTGATGGAGTTCTAATTTCTGTTGCTGTGGCTATTGGGCTAGATCAGTCTGCTACTGTAGCATTGATAGCTCCCACACTGCAGGGAAGGTTTGAATTTTACTTTCAAAACATTTAATTATTCATAAAGCTAGTAAAATACATAAAACATTTGGCTCAAATTGCAGAAAGTGCAACAAAATTTAACTTTGTCTTCGTACAGCATATTCTATTCTTAGGTTTCTCAACGCAATTGCAATAACCTTAATGCACACAATAAACGTTGAATGTTAGACAGGTAGCCCATGGGCAAAACGTTTCAAATTAAAGCATTTATCCACGTTCCACTCTGGGGTTCCCTTAATATAAGAAATTGAGCAACTTAGATACTATTCGCAGAAAAAGTGGTGAATTTAAGCTGAAAGAACCACCCCTGTCAGTGCTACCTTTCACTGTAGCTAACCACAAGTTCCCTGATCTCGGAAACAAAAACAAAGTGCTAGAGGAACTCAGCAGGTCTGGCAGCATCTGTTTGAAGAAAAACTGAGCTAAAGTTCCAAATCCAGTAACTCTTTGTCAGTACAGAAAGCAGTTGGGAAAGGGGGTATTTATGCTGATGTTTTGAGAGGGGGACACGGGGAGGAGTAAGTTAACTGGATAGCGATAGTGCTCAGAGAGACTGAGAGGAAAAGGGAAGCAAGGGAATAGGTGATAACAGGAATTGAATAGTTAAAAATGGGTTGGCACACTGGGATAAACCCATACAGAAAAGGACCTGGATGTGTGGAGGTAGGTAATGAACATGAAGCGAGGTGTTCACGTTGTGAAATCTGAAACCCAATGTTCAGTCCTGGAGGCATAAAGGCACCTCAGCAGAATCGTAGAATCACAGAATCCCTGCAGTATGGAAATAGGCCATTCAGCCCAATAAGTCCACACTGACCGTCCGAGGAGATCCCACCCAGACCCATCCCTACCCCTTTTCCCTGTAACCTACCTAATCTACACATTCCTGAACACTATGGGCAATTTGGCATGGCCAATCAACCTAACCTGCATATCTTTGGACTGTGGAGGAAACTGGAACACCCGGTGGAAACCCCCGCAGACACAAGGAGAACGTGCAAATTCCACGCAGACAGTCGCCAAAGGTGAGAATTGAACGTGGGTCCCTGGCGCTGTGAGGTAGCAGTGCTAACCACTGAGCCACTGTGTTGCCCCATGATGAGGTGTTGTTCCTCCAGTTTGTGTTAAGCTTTGGTAGAGCACTTAGGCAGGCCTGAGACACACGTTTTGTCATGCTGACACAGTGATGTGTTGAAGTGGCAGGCAACTGGAAGCTCCAGGTCATTTTTACAGATAAAGTAGAGGTATTTGGTAAACTACTTCAGCAGACCCCCACCCCCTCTCACCCGATCAAGAGCATAAATAACACCTATTCCCAATTGTTTTCAGTTCTGATGAAAGGTCACTTGATTCAAATCATTATTATTGTTTTTCTGTCCAAAGATGCTGCCAGACCTGCTGAGATTCTCCAGTACTTTCTGTTTTGTTTCAGATCTCCAGCATCTGCAGTTCTATAAGAACATAAGACATAGGAGCAGAAATTAGGCCATTCAGCCCATCGAGTCTGGTCCGCCATTCAATCATGGCTGATAAGTTCCTCAACTCCATTCTCCTGCTTTCTCCCCGTAACCCTTGATCCTCTTGATAATCAAGAACCTATCTATCTCAGTCTTAAATGTACTCAATGACCTGGCCTCCACAGTCTTCTGTGGCAGTGAATTCCATTGATTCACCACTCTCTGGCTGCGTCTCCTGATTTACTTCCGGAAACTCCTGCCAATGCTGTTCCACTGTCTTTCCTGCTAGGCTCCTCTTCCAGTCAATTCTGCCCAGCTCCTTCTTCATACCTCTGTAGTCGCCTTTATTCAGCCGTAATACAGTTACCTCTGATTCTATCTTCTCCCTCTCAAATTGCAGAGTAAATTCTATCATCTTATGATCACTGCCTCCTAAGGGTTCCTTTACCTTAAGCTCCCTTATCAAGTCTGCCTCATTGCACAACACTAAATCCGGTATTGCCTGTTCCCTTGTGGGCTCCACCACGAGCTGCTCCAAAAAGCCATCTCGTAGACATTCCACAAACTCTCTTTCTTGCAATCCACTACCAACATGGTTTTCCCAGTCTACCTGCATATTGAAATCCCCCATGATCACTGTGACTTGGCCTTTCTTACACATCTTTTCTATCTCCTGGTGTATCTTGCGCCCCAGCTCCTGACTACTGTTTGGAGGCCTGTACACAATCCCAACTATGGTTTTTTTTTACCTTTTGCGGTTCATCACTTCTACCCACACAGATTCTACACCATCTGACCCTACTTCGTTTCTGCCTATTGATTTAATTTCATTTCTCAGTAATAAGGCAACCCCATCCCCTCAACCCACCTGCCTATCTTTTCGATAGGGTATATATCCTTGGATATTTAGTTCCTAATCCTGATCCCCTTGCAGCCATGTCTCTGTGATGCCTACCACGTCATACCTGCCAGTTGCGATCTCTGCCACAAGCTCATTTACCTTATTCCTTATACTGTGTGCATTCATAACACCTTCAGTCCTTTATTAACCCTCCCTCTTCTCATTTTCATTTGTTTTCGTGTTTGATTGCTAGCCTTTTCCAAACACTCTGTCCTGTTTGTGTCTGTGCTGGAGACTTTAGTAACCTCTCCTGAATTTTCCTTCCGTGTTATTTCTTTCATATTTTTCCACTTACTTGAATCCACCATTACCGATGTTAACCTGCTGCTTTGTTTCCCACCGGGGCAAATTTTACCATTCCCTTCACCGCCCCCCCCACCCCCCACTTTCCAGTTTAAAGTCCTGTTGACCAGCCTATTTACCCTTTTCGCTAGAACATTGGTCCTACTACTGATGCCAGTGCCCCATGAAAAGGAACTGTTCTTTCCCGCACCACTCTTTTAGCCACCTATTTAACTTCTTTGTTTTATCTTGCAGATTTCAGTCTTTATGCCATTTTAGTGGGTCAGAATCATTCAACAATGACTTCCCATTGTGCACTTTCATCCTCCAATCTGATGAGATGTAGGAACAGCATGAAACCCATTGACTGGCTGTGAAAGTCAGCATGGCAAGTTGAAGAAGGATTTAATTGGCTTAATTGTTTTCCTAACCAATGGGGTGTGGTGCTGCTTGCTGCTTGAGTGCAACTGAAAGAGCTCAGGATAATGCTGGGATCCTGACCCGATGTCATTTCTGGGGATTTCACTCCCCATGTGCACCCAAATCTAGATCCTTTTGATTGTGGGAATGATTGGGCCCTATGGGCTGAACCTTGCCAGTTTAGGAGATTGTTGGATATTGGGACTGAACATATTCCAGAATCCAGTGGTATCCAGGTCCTACCCCCTTGAATATTCTTCTTGGAGGTGGCCAATTAACAGGCCATTTAGTGCACCCCGGGCTCAGATGGGTGCTGCTGATATCGGTGGGAGACCATGATAGTACCTCAAGTTGGAGTCACCTCTAAGACTTCAGTAAACAGTTCGATTAAGTGTCGTCACAATTGGCAAGCCTTCAGTCTGAAGAGGGAACTGTAAAGTGGGCTTGCAGTTGCATTTGTGGCCCTCAAATATCCCTGCCTTTAAACTCGCCACCAGAGGGTATTAAATTGAGCCGGGTGTCTCTAATATTTTTGACTCGGTTAGGTCACTTGTTTTTCTTAATGTTTCCAGAGATCTTAACAACTATGATAGACAGAGTGCAGGCCTGTCAACTTCAGTTAGGCGGGAAGCGATGTCAGGACATGAGCAGAGACTGTTACCCCAATTGTTTCTGCTCGACCTTGGAAATGATTATTCTATAGCAGAAAGACACGCAATGTGCACTTCATTCATTCTACAAACGCCGATTGTGTGAGACTTTTTAGAATATTGCCCGGGATTGATTTTTTTTCCGACTCTCACATGTCTTTCGAGTTCTGGGTCATTGCTGTTTGGCAATTTAGTTTCTTGTGCAAACAAGAGAAATATCACGCAAGGATACTACTTTCTCTACTCGGCTGCTGTTATTATTCCAAGCGGCCTTTCAATGCAGCCTTCTCTCCATGACCTTAACAAGTGAGTGCATTGGAAGCTGATCAATAGGATGCTGAGATGGGAGGAGCTGGAGCTCGTCAGGGCTCCCTGGAGGATGTTTGGCTCTTGGCTATTGGCTCGTTGGGGAGTGTGAGCTTTGTATTTCAGTGGACTTGCCTTTATCCTGGGAGTGAGAAACGACTTTTGCCCATTGTGGATCTCTCCTGTTAACTGCAGCAGAGAAGCTTGCCAGCAATTCTAAACTTTTTCCTTCACTCGGCAACGCCATGGACAGCCCGGGCTTCGACAACCTGGATGCCGTCGGTTTCCTTCAGATTTGGCAACGCTTTGACGCTGATGGTAATTAATTTTTTTATTTTATCATATCCAGTGCTAAATAGGGAGAGACTTAAGTTCTTGTCTGTATGTGGACACGATGCAAGGAACGCGTGACTATATTTAAAAATTTGCCTGTAAAATATGATTTCCCTTTGTCATATTTCGGAAACTTTTGCGAACAAATTGGGACATGAAATATTCAGTAGACCTGAAAGGACAAAACAAATTAATTTGAACAAGATTTACATAAAGCAGGTGGCTGTACAGTACAAACGCAGAAATTGCTGGATAAGCTCAGCAGGTCTAAGCAGCGTCAGTGGAGAGAAATCAGTCTTAACTTTTCGGGTCTGGTGACCTTTATTCAGAACCCAAAGTGTATAGCACACTTTGCCAAGTTTCTTTATGTGGGTTTGATTGTCCCTAGGGTTGTGTCCTGTTCTCGACACTGCGTTGGCGTAATGCTTCATTTTTTTGTACTGCATAAATGAACTCAACTAATTTATTCCACAATTGCAGCCTGAGACTTTTAGCAATGATTCACTTCCGTAGTTTTCCCATCTCTTGAACCAACATTGTTTCTATTTCCTACATAATTATTTGAACAGACCCCACCCTTGTATGAGGGATCTGGTTCTTTTTGGTATATTTATGTTATCTCTTAGCAGCTGCATCCGTTTGGAGCTTTCGATTTTTATTTTGTTAATGATTGAGCCAGGTCAAGTGAAATCTTCAATTTTGCCACCTTTAAATGCTGCTGTTGAGAGCCTCAGTAAAGAGTTTGTACAAGGGGCAAGAGTTAGAATTGATATCGATTACTTGATCCATAATCACTGATTTCAATATTTGTATCCTGTGGAGAGGTTACAAACATGGAGGTAATGGCCTCGTGGGATTATCACTAGACTATTACTTCAGAAACTCGGCTAATGTTCAGGGCATTCATTTTTTTTATCAAATTCAAATTCTCCTATTTGCAATGGTGTAATTCGAACCATTTGTGACTCCTCAGATACTGAAGTAGTCCTTGTCCAAGTGCTGCAAGACCTGGATAATCTCCAGGCTTGGGCTGACAAGTAGTAAGTAACATTTGCGCCACAAAAATGCTGGGCAATGCCCATCTCCAATAAAAGACAATATAACCATCACCCCTTGGTATTCAATGGTGTTACCATCACACAATCCCCCATCATCAACATCCTTGGGGTTACCATTGACCAGAATCTCAACTGGACTCATCACATAAACACTGGTGACAAGAACGAGTCAGAGGCTAGGAACACTTTTTGGCAAGTAATTCACTACCTGACTCTCCAAAGCCGCCTTCAGCAGTTCACCATCTAAAAGGCACACAAGAGGAGCGTGATGGAATACCCCCCACTTGCCTGGATGTGTGTAGCTCCAACAACACTCAAAAGACTCACCATCCAGGACAAAGCAGCCCACTTGATTAGCACTACATCCACAAACATCCACTCCCTCCACTCCCAACACTCAGTAATAGCAGTGTGTATTATCTACAAGATGCACTGCAGAAATTCGCTAAAATTTCTTAGACAACGCCTTGCAAACCTTTGAACACTTTATCTAGAAGTAGAAGGGCAGCAGATATATGGTCACCATATGGTCCCATCACCACCTGCAAGTTGCTCTTGAAGTCACTCACCATTCTGATTTGGAAATGTATTGCCATTCCTTCACTGTCGCGGGGTCAAAATCCTGGAATTCCATCCCTAACTACATTGAGGGTCAATTTACAGCAAGTGGACTGCAACAGTTGAAGGCAGCTCACCATCACCTTCACCTTCTCAAGGGCAACTAGGGACGAACAATAAAGGCTGGCCAGACAGTGATGCTCACATCCCAACAATGAATTTTAAAAAACTGCTAGTCAAGAATCATTCCAGTTTGCTTTGACTTAGTGGCCACTATTGTACTTTCTTTTTGTATTTTGGAATGAATTGTGCCAGCACAACATTGCTAATCAGGGAAGTTTTCCTCATTTGAGAACCAAATGTATCAGCACCACCGGGGAGCCACAGATTCCAAAGATGCAGGCCAGAGCTGCTGAGTATTTACAACATTTTCTGTTTTATTTCAGATTTCCAGCATCTTCAGTTTTTTCTTTTTATGTTTACGTCAGTGCCATTATTGTGGAGTTCATTCAACCTGCATTCTAGAGTAAGGATAGTGCATCTATTGCACACTTACTATTTCACAAGTGTGGAGCTGTGAAAGTTCTCATTTCAAGTGTGCTCATCATTTTGTGAAGTAAAATTGTTCTTTCAACCTTTCCTTGGTTTTTAAGAAGATGTGAACCTGTACTATTATAGTCAATAAAGAAATATTCTGTTTTAATTTTATGAATTCCTCCCTCCATTCTGGGAACATATAATATGGTGGGACCTGGTCTTTTGACAGTACTCACTGAGAGCAGTAGTTCTTCACTGCAACATCTGTGCATTCTTTTGAAGCAGCAGCTACCAAGCAAAATCATTGTATTGCTGAGGCTGACTAACATCTTAAAACTGCAGCTCTTGAATAACTCGAGTTTAAAAAGCTGTAGTCACTATAAAGGCAACCCAGTCAGCCTTCTAAGCGTACAGTTTCTGTTGTGTTTTCAGGAGTTGTATACCTAGACCTATTCAGAGAAAGTTTGAATACAGCACTTATTACATGTGAATAATGAAGTCAACCTACCGGGAAATACCTCAGATTATGGCTAATCATGTTGGTCTCAGTACCGATTTGAGCCTGGGTGTGTGGGATTTTGGCACTGACAATTTTGTTTAATAAATTCAGCTCTATTTACTGTGCTGTATTACATTCATGCTGTTCATTCAGTACCAAAAGGTCTTCAGACAGGATTTCCAGAATGTTTTCATTTTTATTTTATTCGATACTTCAAATTATTTTATTGAAATGGTTATGCTATTTATTGAAATCTCTTCTAGATAATGGCTACATTGAAGGCAAAGAACTGGATGATTTTTTCCGTCACCTTATGAAGAAACTTGGTACTGAAGTGAGTACACATTCTACTTTAGCTTGTTAAATTGACCTTATTGTAAACATTTCCAAGGCAACAAATTTGACAGCTGCTTGCCAAATGCATGTATGCAGTAGTGGAAAGGACTTACATAAAAACAAAATACATAGCAACAAAGATAACAAGGTGTAGAGCTGGATGAACACAGCAGGCCAAGCAGCATCAGAGGAGCAGGAAGGCTGCCGTTTCGGGCCTAGACCCTTCTTCAGAAATCTACATTCAGAACATTGATACCACTACAACTCTACGTAGCAACAAGGTCAGTTATGCCCGAGAATAACAATGTATTCTAAAGAAGGGTTACTGGGCCTGAAACATTAATGCCCATTTCTGTCCACAGATTCTGCCAGACCCACAGAGTTTTTCCAGCACTTTTGTTTTGTTTTTAATAACCAATGTATTGTTCAAATAAAAGCAAAAAAGTATGAATGCTATAATTCCAAAACAAACTGACAATGTAAGAATTTTTTTAAATGGAGGACAAACATCATGAGGTTACATTCTGAAGTTGTGTAATTCTATGTCAAGTCCTAGACCTTTTAAAGTGTCCAAGCAGAAAATTGAGGTGGCATTCCCTGAGCTTCACTGAAACATTGCAGCAGGCCCAGGACAGAAAAGTTAGCATGAGAGCAAGGTGGGTTATTGAAATGGAAAACAGCTGGGAGTTCTGGCTTATTGCTACAGACAGAATGGAGGTGTTCCACGAAGTGGTTTCTTTGTCTGCTTTGGTCTCGCCAACATAAAAGAGTCAGCATTATAAGCAGCAAATATGGTAGACTGAATAGAATGAAGTACACGTAAAATGCTTCTTCACCTGGAAGATGAATTTGGAGCCTTGGACAGTGAGGAAGGAGCTGGTGAAAGGAACAAAAGTAAAGTAAAAGGAGGGAAGGGAAGAATCAGAGATGAACCACGTAAAGTGAGAGAAGGATGGAAATTGGAAGCAAAATTGATTAATTTTCCACATTCAGAAGTATTGTGGAGAGGACCAGAGAAGATTTCGAACAAGGAATGTTCCACTCTCCATGTTTCATTTTTATTTGAGCCCTGTTATGAAGAAGAGTCACCTGATCTGAAAGGTAAACACTGATTTCTCTCCACAGATGCCACCAGACCTGCTGAGCTTTTCAGTAATTTCTGATTTTGCTTCTGATTTACAGCATTTGCAGTTCTTTCGGTTTTTATTCCTCTACATCATCTGTTCCTCTCGTTTCTGTCTCCACAGATGCTGCCAGATCTACTGACTTTCTCCAGCATTTTCACTGAATATATTGTTCAAATTCTGTTTGCATTTGCAAAGACAGAAAATAGTTATCTGAAAAGATTGTATGAAGTTTTCATGGCATTCACTCTAAAGGTTCAACAATCTGATCATTTCCATGAATAAACTATTTTTTTATCTGATTTGTTCTAGACTTCAAATTGTAATTGTCAAAATCTTGAGTTCAATAGTTCTGCAACAATTACTGTTTTCAGCAGGTTAACTTTCTGTACTGGGTGTTTTTTTAAGCTTTTAATTTTGTACAATTTTAATTTTGTTACTTTCGATCAACAAAAACTCTTCAGCACTGAATATTATATAAAGTAGAATTCGATATACATGGTACTGATGAAAAAAAGCAAGCAAACTGCAACTGTTTGAAAATGTGAAACAAAAGAATTGCTGAAACACAGCAGATTAACTAGTCTTTATGATGAGAACTGACAGGTCATTATGTTAGGCTGATGCATTCTTGAGGACTGGAAAATAATAGAGGCTAGCCCTTACAATCAGAAAAAAAGGAAGGCACAAACAGACAAATCAACAAGCAATACCACAAGGGAAAAAATGAAGTATCTTTTGAATAACCAGTAACCTGAACACATTGTGAATCTAAGAGATCACCTTAGTCAGACAATAAGAGGTTCTGAGGAAGGGTCACCGGACCCAAACGTTAACTCTGATTTCTCCTCACAGATGCTGCCAGACCTGCTGAGCTTTTCCAGCAATTTCTGTTTTACTACAGAAATAAAGAATAGCAAAATAGTTAGTAACCGTCAAACACGTGCGCACACAGCTCCTCCCCCCACCCACCCCCAAACAAACAAACGAACACACACAGATCAAGAAACTAGAAGAGCATATCAAATAATTTATTCATTTTGTGAGCACTTGTTTTAATAAGTTATTGTTTCAAGGTGGGCTTCATTCTGGTACAACAACATTCAGTAACTTTCAACCTTTGTTTAGTGCCAGCATTGTTGCCTCTGAGTCAAAGAGTTGTGGGTTCAAGCCCTACTGAAGTGGATAAGTGCATATTTTTAGCTACACGCCAGTGCAATTTCGAAGGATCACTACAATGTTAGCGGTGCCATCATTCAGCTGAAATGTTAAGACAAGGTACTGTCTGCCCTCTCAGATGGTGTAAAAGTTCTCTCCTGTCATACTCAATGTTGGTCCCTTAACCAGCAACACTATAACAGTTTAATTGGTCAATTTTTTTTCATTGCTTTTTGAGGAACCTTGCTGTGTGAAAATTGGTTGCATTATTTTCCTAGGTGACAGCAATGATCATGCTTGTGAAGTAATTCACTGGCTGAGATGTGCTTTCAGACATTCTAAGATTGGGAATGGTACCATTCAAATGCATGTCTCTCTCTGTCTGGATTATACACAAGTAGAAAAACTAAATTAGACCATTTGTTAAAAGTCAACAATTATTACAAACGTTTCAGAATTTTAAGTGAAAAAGTAAAGCTTCTTCTTGATTGCTTTATTGGACTGAAAGAAAACCTTGGAAGTAGATTCAGAAATGCAACAAAAGTTCAGTGTCACCATTCAGCCACAAGTAAAATGTTTGCAGATTGTACTTTTACCAGTTTTTCTGCATTATAAGGCATCTGATCGGAGTCAAATTTTCAGCATTGAGATAAAAGAAATTCCATGAGGCAAATGTATTCTGGCCTCTAGAAGATGAAAACCATATGAAGTTGGGTGCAATAAACTACTCATCTGTCTCTTTTTGGTCACATTGAAATTCAAAAAAGACATTTCGGAGGTTGAAGATTTGAAATTAGAACTTTCAGGAAGGCATTGCTGTAGAAAGAGCAAGGTTGTATTCTAAAATATTCTGCACGATTGCTACTGAATTTGTTATATTATCAAGTTATTAGGTCAAACTTATGGCCTTTAGACAAAAAGCTTTTCTGTGTTGGAGAATAATCTGATTTAAAGAGCTAATGTCTATTTGGAATTGCTTTATTTGTCAGTGCATGGAACAAAAGTTTGACATTGATGAAAGGATAGTGTATGGAAAATTGTGTTTTAAGGAGATTTGGACTTAGTTAATGGATAGAGTGTTTGTTTTTTTTTCCAAGGTTTAATGCTACTTCAACAATAAATATCAGGGTCACCTGTTGGATAACTCCTAAGTTGTCATTGGGAAAATGCTAGAATCTATTATTAAGGAGTTAATTGCAAGAAATTTGGAAAGCCATAATAAATCAGACAAAGTCAGCATAATTTTTGAGAAAAGCAGCCCCACGTTTGACAAATTTATTAGAGTTTTTTTGAGATGTAATGGGAAGATTGATAAAGGGGAACCAGTAAATGTAGTGCATTTGGATTTTGAAGAGGCATTTGATAAGGTGTATCAACTTTTGATCCATGTCACAAAATTGATCACTATATGTTTAATATTGAACTGATACTGCCTGCATTGATTTAATCCACAGTATTAATGTCTAACATGTAGATGGAGGCTTCTAATTATCAATTTACATGAATTTCATACAATTACTAGAAAAATTGCCATTAATGAATAAGGAAATCCAAGAAGAAGCCATGTTAATTTTCCATGGATTGCTTAAATCCTCAAGTCAGAGAGGAATTATCCAGACTTTTTTTCCTTTATTGGATTTTTCTTTATCTCACCAGTACACGGCAAAAAGGTGGGAGAATTTGGGGTTACATTGGGATGGGTGATGGGTGTCATATGTACAAAAAGAAGTGTCTTGTCATTGTGCACTGACCATTCAGGAGTTCGCACAACCAGAAGTGCTTCATTGCAAATTTAGATGCACTCAAACTCGTCTTGGCATCTGAATTCCTAATACTGACCACTATTGTTTTCCGTTCGTTCGCTATTGTTGGGTCAAGATTATGAAACTCCCATTCTAACAACACTGGTGTATCATTATCCCCATGGACTGCAGCAGTTCAAGGAGGCAATTCAGCATCACCTTCTCAAGGACAGCTTGATGGAACCAACTATCTATGTTCTAGTCATTTTCCTCTTGTTTGATTAGGGCTAGAGTCCAGTTCAGAGTCAAATGGCAGAGAGAGTTTATGGTGACTGAAGATGCATTACTTGGTGGGAGACATTTTCAAATATTGAATGATCCCTACAGCTTTGAATTTTTTCCCCCCCCTGTTTTAGTGAGTTTGTTAAATTACTTTGAGTTAATGCCTTCAGTGAGAAAAAAGGGAGCAGAATTTCCAGGCAAATAACACTTTGCCTGAAACCCCACAAAACAATATCAAGACTTACATTTTTGGTTCACTTCACGAAAGATGATAATAAACTGAAAGCAACTATTCAATATAAACTAAGTCTATGAAAAATAAACTTTATTGCATTTGTGGTAAAGCAAATGTGTACAAACCATAGTACAACAATGGTAGCATATTTGTAGACATAAATATTATGTTTACATGCATTCACAAATTTAAGAGCTTTGGCTGTCAGTATCTATCCTCACATACTATTTGCAAGCAAAACTTCCCTTTAGAGTATATGGCTGGTTTCTGTTAGGCACACAGTTAAAAATGAAAGACAAGGTGTACCAGATGCTTTTTGATTGAACTACCACTGCTAATGTCAAATCTGGCTTGTGTCAATAGATCCACTGTGTTTATTCCTTGTGATTAGCATATCTGCCTCAGGCCAAATTAAGTTAAATTATGTTATCTTGTGCAATTGCATACTCAAAGTTGA